CAGCAGAGCTGCGGGGGGGGGCAGCGGGCACACAGCAGGGCGGTGGAGCCGCGGGGGGGGCAGTGGGCACACAGCAGGGCGGCAGAGCCGCGGGGGGGGCCAGCGGGCACACAGCAGGGCGGTGGAGCCACAGGGCCGGGCCCGCGGCCCCCCTCGCTCACCGGCAGCGACATGTCCCGCTCGTCCCGGAACTCGGGCAGCGTCTCGAGGCAGAAGATGACGATGGAGATGAGGATGACCAGCACGGAGATGATGGCGATGATGCGGGCGGCCTGCGAGCTCTCCGGGTACTCGAAGAGCAGCCAGACCTGCTTGAGGAACTCGGGCCCGGGCAGCGGGCGCTGCTCCTCCGTGACGAAGCCCTCGTCTTCCCGGAACTTGCTGAGCGCCTCCTCGCCCAGCTGGTAGAACTTCAGCTCCTCCAGGAAGATGTCGAGAGGGACGTTGGCGGGGCGCCGCAGCCGCCCGCCCGACTGGTAGTAGTAGAGGATGGAGTCGAAGCAGGGCCGGCTGCGGTCGAAGAAGAACTCACCCCGCAGTGGGTCGTAGTAGCGGAGCCGGCGCCGGGGGTCGCCCAGCAGGGTGTTGGGGAACCGGAGCAGGGTCCTGGCCTGGGTCTCGAACCGCAGCCCCGCCACGTTGATCACCACCCGCTCGCAGCAGTCCCGGCGCAGGCACGGGACGTAGGGGCCGGGCACCTCGGCGGGTCCCCCCGCTGGCAGCGCCGGCTTCTCCATGGCGGGGGAGGTCAGGGCCCGGCGACGGTGGCCATGGGCCGGGACGGGGGGGTTCCCCACCGTGGGTGCCCCTGCTTTGCTCTCCACTGATTCGTTCCCTCCCTCACACCGTGTTCCCACCTCCCTTGGCCCCAATTCGCTTCCCCTTTCCTGCACTCAGCCTGTACCCCCTCCTCCGGCCCTGATTCGCTCCCCCCTTCCCACGCTCAGCCCGTACCCCCTCCTCCAGCCCCTATTCGGTCCCCCCTTCCCACACTCAGCCCGTACCCCCTCCTCCGGCTCCGATTCACTCCCCCCTTCCCACACTCAGCCTGTACCCCCTCTTCCAGCCCCGATTCGCTCCCCCTTCCCACGCTCAGCCAGTACCCCCTCCTCTGGCCCTGATTCGCTCCCCCCTTCCCACGCTCAGCCCGTACCCCCTCTTCTGGCCCCGATTCGCTCCCCCCTTCCCACGCTCAGCCTGTACCCCCTCCTGCTCCGGCCCTGATTCGTTCCCACATTCACACCATATCTCCCCCCACATACACTCTCTTCTATTCTCACCCTTTCTTTTCTGCTCTGACAATTCCCTGCACCCCTCTTCTGCACCCCCCCAGCCCACCCTGCCTTCTGAGCCCAGGATCTGTCTGTCCGTCCGTCCCTGAGGCCAAGGGCCGGGATCTCTGGCTGTAAACACGTTCCCAGCCCGGGGAGGTGTCATGTTCTCAGGACAGCTCTGACTTCCAGCGCCCCTGTGCCAAACCCCAGTGCCCGCCCCTACCCCGCTGCCCCTTCGGCTCCGAGGGCACTAAAAATAACAGGGGGCAGACAGCTCCCAGGGATGATATGGAGGCAGGGGGTGGGAGCCGGGGCTCCTGGGTTCTATTCCCAGTTCTGAGAGGGGAGGGGAGTCTAGTGGTTAGAGCAGGGGGCTGGGAGCCAGGACTTCTGGGTTCTATCCCTGGCTCTGAGAGGGGAGAGGGGTCTAGTGGTTAGAGCGGGGGGGCTGGGAGCCAGGACTCCTGGGTTGTATCCCTGGCTCTTGGAGGGGAGTGGGGTCTAGTGGTTAGAGCAGGGGGGCTGGAAGCTAGGACTTCTGGGTTCTAGTCCCGCCATTTGTAAAATCAGAGAATAATTAACAAGCATAAAACTGAGATGCCAACGCCCAAGGGGATGAGCGCTTCCCTTTGGGGCGTCTCCCTCTGGGCCTCCTGTTCCTGGATTCGAATGGAAGCTCGTTAACCGAGATGGGGTTAATTAATCTAGTGTCAGGAGGAGAGAGGTAATCACGCCCAAGTAACAAAGCGTTAGGGATCAAGAGATAACTGTGTAATAAGAAAATAATCTGTTAATAGGTATGACATAAGTGCCCAGGAATGGCTGGTGTTAACCTGCCTGGAGAGAGTGGGGGTGTGATCAACAGAGTTAATTAATTTATTAATTAGTGGGGTGTCTTCTGCCCTTACCTGAATTATAGGGACTGTGCCAGCTTCCCTGTGTGTATGCAATACACCAGGCTCTAACCATTAGACCCCACTCCCCTCCCAGAGCCGGGGAGAGAACCCAGGCGTCCTGGCTCCCAGCCCCCCTGCTCCAACCACTAGACGCCTGTCCTCTCCCTGAGGAGAGAACCCAGGAGTCCTGCTCTAACACGCCCGACATCCCTCACCACCTCACACTCCCATCCCTGGTCCTTCTCCTAGTCCTGTTGGGTTTCTGTCCAGGGGCGTCTGTGCCCCTCACACAGCCTACCAGCGCCATCTGCTGCTCCTCTGTGGGCATCTCTGCTCCAGATCCATCTGCGGTGCCAGGCCTGGGGCGTACGGGCCCCCGGTGACCCTGCGGTGCCAGGCCTGGGGCGTACGGCCCCCCGGAGACCCTGCGGTGCCAGGCCTGGGGCGTACGGCCCCCCGACCCTGCGGTGCCAGGCCTGGGGCGTACGGGCCCCCGGTGACCCTGCGGTGCCAGGCCTGGGGCGTACGGGGCCCCCGGTGACCCTGCGGTGCCAGGCCTGGGGCGTACGGGCCCTCCCGACCCTGCGGTGCCAGGCCTGGGGCGTACGGGGCCCTGCCCTCGGGCGGAGGAGGCTGTATCCCAAGCCCAGCTGGGGTCAGAGTCGTTACCCAGCTGCTATGGCGCGGGTCAGGGGCCATATCCCTGGTTGCTATGGAGCACGTCTGGATCATCAGCATGAGGGTGAGTATTATGGTCTGCCTTCCCCATGTTCAGGCTGCTATGGCACAGGTCGAGGTCATGGGCCCAGTTTGCCATGGCGCAGCTCAGGGGCCATATTCCTGGTTGCTATGGCACAGGTCAGAGGTCATGGCCTGGTTGCTATGGCGCAGGTTGGGGGTCATGGGCCCGGTTGCTATGGGGCAAGTCAAGGTCATGGCCCCAGTTGCTATAGCGCAGGTCAGAGGTCATGGCCTGGTTGCTATGGCGCAGGTCGGAGGGTCATGCCCCAGTTGCTATGGCACAGGTCAGAGGTCATGGCCTGGTTGCTATGGTGCAGGTCGGGAGTCATGGGCCCAGTTGCTATGAGGCAAGTCAAGGTCATGGGCCCAGTTGCTAATCATGGGCCCAGTTGCTATGGGGCAAGTTGAGGTCATGGGGCTGGTTGCTATGGCGCAGGTCGGGGGTCATGGGCCCAGTTGCTATGGCGCAGGTCTGGGGGTCATGGCCCTGTTGCTATGGCGCAGGTCTGGGGGTCATGGCCCTGTTGCTATGGAGCAGGTCAGGGGTCATGGGCCCGGTTGCTATGGGGCAACCTATGCTGAGGGTGAGTATTATGGTCTGCCTTCCCCATTTTCACACTGCTATGGTGCAGGTCAGAGGTCATGGCCTGGTTGCTATGGGGCAGGTCGGGGGTCATGGGCCCGGTTGCTATGGGGCAACCTATGCTGAGGGTG